CTCGCCCGAGTCGTGCGCGGCGTCGTACCGCCCGCTGTACTCCTGGCTGGGGATCATGCACGCCCCGTAGGGCCCTACGCTCAGCGCCACCTGCGCGTCGCTCGCCTTGGCCCGCTCCGCGATGCCGACGGCCGTCTCGATGTACCCCGGGATGGCCGCGGGCGGGATACCCTCCGGGGTCTGCGAGGTCGTCGTGTCCGCGAACCCCCGGATGGAGACCTGGTAGGTGGCCGTGAGGAGCACGTCGACGGGGACGCGGCCAAAGTTGGACTGGCACTTCAGCAGGGTCTCGTTGTCGGACACGAGGAGGTGCGACGACCAGAGCGGCGTCGAGTGGCTGCTGAATTTGACGGCGAAGTCGGTCTCGAGCGAGGTGCCGAGACCGCCGTCCAGGATCTTGATTCGGGCCATTGTGTGGTTGCTTGAGGGGTAACGGGGTGTTGTGGGATCGTGGATGGCTGAGGAAATCGGGGAGACCCCTCGTGGACCAATTGTTTATCCGGAAGGAAAAACTAAATAAACCATGAGGCCGAAGCACTGACTTGAAGCCTTTGCAAAGATTTGAGAGATTACATGAGCTTTTTATCCTACTGATCAATCTCACTGAATTGCATTTTGGCGCCAAAGCACAACGGTAAAAGTTAATGTGATGATGCGAGGGTATCCCCACTTGTTCAGCTTTGCGAAACGGGTAGAGTCTACATACGAGATTGGGGTCAAATTCACAGAAATCTAGCCGCATGAGTCTGTTGAGGAGGCGAGCGGCAGAGAGCTGAAATGGAGTATGCCATTTCCTCCCCGGCGTTCCGACCCCCGGCACTGAAAATGTACAAGTTAAAGCACGCATGGCAAGAGAGATGGAACGGCGCATATCTGCAGAAAAGAACGTCATTTCATAGTATCGTAATTTAATAGTTGTCTCATGATTTTGTTGCGAGGGCGTACTGAGGCTCAATCATTGGACCCTTGATGCTAGCAAACATACTACATAACCAAATCCATTACATGACAAACTTCAGGTTGGTATCTGCGATAGGTTAGCCAACTGCACCAAGGATGAAGCGATGAGAATGTGGCATACCAAGCGGGTGACTGCACGAGAGCTGGGGCTTCTGGGAGTACTTCTCCATCAGAATATCTCGGATGTTGTTCAGCAGCTCAACATAGGTCTGGTCGGGATTGGCCTTGAGAGCAGAGATGAAAGCATAGGACATGGCGCCGGTAGCCTTGTTGGCAATGGTGGCGTCGGCACTGGGATTCACATGTTAGCAGGGCGTGAAAGAGGGTGCGGCTGGAGGGATGTTGATATTTCGACTTACGATGTCTGATCATCCTTGCTACCAGACCACATGACAACATCGGCTGGCGAGGTTCGGGTGTCCTTGGTCTTGTTGTAGCCATCATTGCCCATCATGGCAGTCTTGGCAAATCCGAAGACGGAGCTGGCGACACCTGCCATATCGCCCGAGGCATAGGAAGTGAAGGCACCAAGAAGACCCTGACCAGCTTCCTTGGCCAGGTTGGGCTCCTTCAGAATTCCCTTGGTGGAGTAGACGTAGGGCAGGTCCATGACAGTGGCAGAGTGACAGGAATCAAAGATGGCGGTCAAGCGAACACCAGCCTTGAGAGGCTTGACACACATGGCGTGGATTTCGTCGTCTACGATGTGGCCATTCTCTGTGTGGTCGACAGGATAGATGACTTCATCATAGCCGTCATCCTCATCACCGTCCAAGTCTTCGGTTTGACCTCCGTGTCCTAGATTACGCGTGAGCAAACGGGGATTTCAGATCAAATTTGCGACAAACGGGAGCAAGTAATACCTGAATAGTGAAGGAATAATGAGTCGTTGGGCTGGGCGCCGCCTACGAGCCAGCCCATGGCACGCTCGATGTTGGCCTTGGTAGGCCGCATGATGGGGTTTTCTTGGTCGTCGGTCAGGATAACCATATCTTCCTTCTTGTAGTTGTGTCTTTCCATAAGGAAAGAAGAGACATTGTGGACATCGTTGATGCAGCCTCTGAGCTCGCCCTTCTGGCCAAAGTAGTTAATACCGATGAGCAAAGCCTTCCTCTTCCCGGTACAGTTGGAGTACTGGAAGGTGTAGCCCTCGGGTGCACCATGTCCGAACTGCTGGGGAACGTTAGATGGCGGAGGGGGGTGGTACTGCTGGCGGTTTTGGTGACTGGGAGCTGCGAGGGGATAACCATAAGCGTCAAGGCCAGCAGGAGGAGGATGAGATGGTGGGGGAGGGCGGTTGTATTGTTGTTGAGGTGGTTGATGGTGTTGTTGATATCCACCGCCACCGCCGTATCCGCCTTGTTGGTAACCGCCTTGGCCTTGCTGGTAACCGCCTTGACCTTGCTGGTAGCCGTAATTTGGCTGCTGCTGCTGGTACCCTCCATACCCTCCCTGGCCTGGAGGAGGACCTGGAGGAGGAGCGTGGTAGTTGCCGCCGCCATATCCTCCACCACCTCCATATCCGCCACCGCCGCCATAACCTCCTCCTCCTCCGCCGTTGTAGCCGTGATGGTCCTGAGAACCGTAGTGTCCCTGACCGGGGTAGCCGCCTCCGTACGACATTGCAAAGTAGATCAAAGTCCCCTTATGAACGGTTTGCACAAAATGGTTTTATTCTAAGTTTCTGCTGGAGTGTGAGAATGAGCTGCAGGCAGCGGGTGGGTGAAATGCTGAGGATGACGGGGGGAAATGAGAGCCCATCCAGTGGTATGCGGCTACTAAAGCTAAAGGAATGACCAGCGTGTTCGCTAATAAGTACTTACTGCCGTAGGTAAGGTAACCAGATGACCAGCACGGACCTTGTGAGAGGGACAGCACGCGTGTTGCTTGGAACGAAACAGAGCTGGGGAGAAATTTCAAGTCTATTATTAGTTCAGTGTTTTTGTGAGGTAGCCAACCGCAGTATTACGTGGGCAGTCACAGGGCAGAGGGAATTGGCCGGATGGATCGAGACGGTGCTGACTGAGGTGTCGCGCTGGGCTGATGCCGTGCAGGTGGTGTGAATGAATGAATGAGCGCCCAGCCCAGCGCTGGAGGAGGGGCAGAGCTGAATCGCAGCCCAGAAACGCCCCGGAAGTGAGGGGCAGAGGGACCCTTGCAGTGGAGGGACGTCGCATGTAGGGGTGCATTAGCCTCACTGCCTCAGGGCTGGGCTGGGCCACATTATCCCCAGCCACGGCCTCCAGAGCTCCCACAGCTCTCTCCCACAGGGCTCGCCTGCTGCATTCCTGTCCCTCCAGGCGTTTGCATGGACGATAGCCACATAGCCCTATGTAGGAATTGTTTAGTAGCCTCGCTCGGCTAGGATCTGCCGCACTACTACTGCCTACAGGCTACAGCCGCTGCGAGCTTCTTTTTCCCTCCATCCCGTTCTGCCAAGATGGCTCTCGGCAAGAACGCGAGCTCCATGCTAAGCCGTTAGCAGGTGTGGCTCAAGCAGGTGCGATGCCGAGACTTGCTGACGCGGCCTTCTGGCAATTCTCTACGGCGCCACTTTCTCACCGCAGGAAGTTACTCTTGGCACATACAATCATCCACATCACCGTGGATGTATTCATGTATTGAGGTCACAAGAGGTCTCTGTCTGCTAGGTACCTAAGCCAACAGCAGCCGCTGATCCCACCAGCCCGGCGCCCAACACGGCCCGACCCTGCCCCAAGCAAAGGGCGTACCAATGCCGAGCTAGTTGTGGCCTACGAGTGAATGACTGGAGTCACCAGGCGATTGCCGTGTATTCAGTGCCACAGGCGTCTGTTCAGACACAAAATAGCACAGTGCATGTGCTTTGTACAACAGCCGCCTGCTCGCAGCCCATTAGCCTCCCTGTTGCGGCCCGCAATGGGGTGCCCATGGGTGATGGATGCCCTGCAGGTCATTGGGGCCTGCCCATTTCTTGCGCTGCTGTGTTTGGAGCGAGTCACATCATTGATGGGCCAGGCAGGTAGACAGGTAGACAAAATCTGTAGGTAGTAATACTCCAGACATGCATAGACACATTTTGGTTCTGTGAGCAGGCCTGTTGACAGGCAATCCCCCCACTATCAGTCCCCGATTCCTCCCCATGCTCATGTGCCATCTTACCTTCAAGAAATCCTCCTTCGTACCACAAACACCTCACTTAAACTTTCTCTTCCCCAGCCAAATAACCCCGGGGCCCTCTTCAAAGTACTCGTGCTCCTGCGCTGAGAACCTACCAATTCTGAACCTCCGACCGAGTGTGCTACTTCCCCACAAGCACCTGCTTGAGACACATGCTTGTAACACCTGCTGCGGGCACCTGGCAACAGACGGACCACTTGCCATCTGCCCCAACACCCCTACCTTGCCTCCATCTCTTGGCTTCCACGTTCTTGGACAAAACATCCTCTTTCCCACTCCTTCCCTGTCTCGTGCGGCAGATAAACGGGCGTAACTCTTTTTGTATTGAGTTGGCGGCCTCCTGGAAGAACAGTGGAACTTTCCCTCGTCTTTTTTCTTGGCTCATTTCCAGCCTCCGCGGTGCAGACCTCAGATCCAAGTCTGATAGTCTGCCGGCACAGTTGAGTCGCAAGCTCGCGCAAACCTGAAGACCTGTGGTTTATTTGCTCATCCCCCCCGCCATTATCTCAAAGAGTACTCGGTTCGAAGTCACCTAAATTCATTCGCCATGTCTTTCTTCAGCAAGATCGCCAAAGAGTTCGAGGGCCTAGGCCTAGGGGATGAGAAGAAGGAAAAGAAGGAAAAGTACGAGGAGAAGGTGGAGGAAGTGCCACCTCCACAGTACCAGCAGAATCAACAGGGCTACCAGCAAAACTATCAGCACACCCGTGAGGAACACGGGGGATATGGTTGTATGTCTTCCCTGTGTGTCAACACTTGATGTCCATCACACTAATTGTCTTTGGTAGCCCCAAACCCTTCCGGTGGTCCATCCTACGGACAGCATGGAGGCTACGACAGCCCCAGCTCTCCCCCTCCTTCGCAGTATCCTGCCTCCCCCGCTGTGCCTAATTATCAGCCACCCTCTGACAAGCCTCCCTTGCCTAATGGTTGGAGACCTTTCTTCGACCAGCAGTTCCAGAGATGGTACTACCTAGAGGAGGCCACTGGACGAACTCAGTGGGAAGCACCCGGCTACCAAGCTTCCTTCCAGGACGGTTCCGACTCTAGAGGAGCAGGAGGCGACCACGGTTATGAAGCACACGGAGGCGGCTATGGCTATCCTCAGGGTGCTTCTTCAGGCCATGGCGGCGGCGATGAGGGCCATCGTGGCGACGGCGATTACGGAGAGAAGTCCGAGGAGAAGAAGGATAAGAAGGACAAGAAGGACAAGCAGGACAAGAAGAGTAATAAGGGTATGTACTTGGCTGCTGGTGCTGGTCTTGCCGCGGGTGCCGTGGGTGGAGCCTTGCTCTACAATGCTCTTGACGACAGTGATAGCGATAAAGAGGAGCATCATCACCATTACTATTCTGGTGGAGGTGGTGGTGGTCACAGCCATTACGAGCACGAAGAGCGGCATTACGAGCACAGGAGCGGCAGCGACAGAAGCAGCAGTAGCAGCAGCAGCAGCGAGGAGGAGGAGGAAGAGGAAGAGGAGTACTCAGACTAGTCAAAACCCTTTGTGTTATCATCAGGCTTCTTTTCAGATGATGAGGGAAATGTCAGGACCCCATTCGTTTGATACGAATTGTAGTACCTGATCTTTCTTTTCAACTCATATATCTGGCCTATGATGGGAAGCAGTCTCTGTCTCACAAGCCTACGGGTAAAGGCATGATGGCATGATTTTACGAGCTACGTAGTCGCATAACCTCGCCTCTAATCGAAATGTTTTACACGATTGACTTGTCGCCCCATTCTACTCTCGCCTGTGCTCTCTTGTGTGAGTTATTCTCAATTGACGGGTGAAGAGACAAGATTCGCTTTCGAAATACCTAACAAAACAAGCATGGTCTACAATGGGTGGGTTGATAAAGTTCAGACGCTTTTCAATCCAGAATAGAGTTTTAGAGAATCGTCTGCTCTTGAACTCTTGGGCCGTATCAACAGACTTTTCGACCCCGTTGAGCTCCTCGATTTTAGCCAGACTATGAAGACGAAGAGCAAGCATATCAGATCTTCTTCTATTGCAGTGATTGGGGTTCAGAGACACGCTGGGGACCTGGGGCTTCCCACCGCCGTTGAAATAAGGTTAATTTTGATATCAGGGTCCCATCCATGTACAAGTGGCTATTCAAACTATAGCCCCCTGAGGTCCAGAACAGCTACCAAGAATAGCAACGGTTGATAATCAAATACAATACCGCTTAATACATAAATGACTTAGGAATATAGAATAATATATTAAAATCTCAAAATTTACCGCGTCGCCGTCTCTCATATTGCCTTAGGTGCTAAATACTTTAACAGCCGCGAAGAGCACGAAATTTAGCAAAGAACAGTACTTCTACCGTTCCCAAAAATTTAAAAACTTGAGAAGACCTCAATTTCCTACAAGAACTAAAATTTGAGGATAGAGTATTAGATTGGAGATAATACAGTTAACTCCATACCTTAAGTTTGCGAGTTGATGACCTTGAATGCAAGCTACCTTCCACACCAAAATCAAACAGCATTCCAGAACAGCTATTAAAAATGGGGTTTTAATTTATGTGTGTATACTCTCTCATTGGTGAAAAAGTTCATGCTATTGGCTGGTCAATCGACCTATCGTAGCAGCTGTAAAGTCACGGAAAGACGCGTCTTTAAGAAGCAGATTTTCAACAGAAAATATCAAAAGAGGTGGAAAAAAAAGCCATTATTTTTCTACGGATAAAAAGAAAAACTTACCGTTGGCTCTGTATGACTTTGAAACTTGGCCCCGAGTCAATATACGGTGATTAGGTATGTATATGTGTGTAGATCTCACTCTGAAGATACGAGGGCGAGCCCCGTCTGCTCGAAAGCTCTGAAGTTCTGGTGGCCCCAGCTGAGTAAAACAACTGCACTGACTACGTATTGAGGGTGAAGACTTGATAGAGAATTAAATTAATTTAGAACCGATTCCGTTGTCAACTCATGTAAACTCGGTCGACTTGGTCCATGGTGGCTGATTCTAAACAAATTTCACATAATCAAATGCATGGGCTTCGTAATTGATTTTCTTCGAAAACATGTCAGACCCCTTTGCGAATAAAGTCATCACCGTCGCTTTTCATTTCTTGCGTGCGCCATTCAGGAGCCTGGTGGCGGCGAGTCCGCCAATCGCCGACTGTATCATATGTCTTGTGCTCCTCTCTTCAGGGTCGCGGCCATTCATCCCACGGTCTATGATGGCGGCCCCTACGGCCGCCGTGGCAACCCGTGCCCCCTTTGTGCCTGCCCAGGGCCCGGGGTGGTGCCGTACCCTGATGGCCTCGATGGCTGCTGCGTCGAGGGCCGCTTTGGCAGCCTGTCCGAGCCGCTGGTCCTTGCGCGGGACGCTCTTAGCACGGCGCTGCTCTTTGTGTTCGCTACTGCGTCGAGGTGAATGTTTCAGTGGGGTTGAGTCGTGTCTGTGACTGTGCCTATCTGGATGGCGACTACTGGATGGGTACTGATGATTTGGGGTAGAGTGGCGGTACTGGCGACGATCTGGGGAAGGTGAGTAGTTCCGTCGCCGGTGCATGTCTCGAGTAGAGCTCCTCGACGGTTCTTGGTGGCGACTGTACGGGTCTAGGCTTTTGCTCCTTTTGTAGTCTGGGGAGCGCGCTCGCGGTCTTCGGCTGCCATGGTCTCGATAGTCTCTATCCAGGCTGTAGAAGTTTTCGCGACGAGGCTCACGATGAGGCTCATGACGAGGGCGCCTTCGGTGATAGTCTGCCATTATTGCAGAGTAAGTCGCTACAGATCAGAGGGGAGAAGAGATCGTCTCAGTAATTGGTGCCGAGAGATACCTTAGCTAGCTAGAATTTTCTACTTTGAGGCATCCCTTACTGGGCAATTAAAGATAAAATCGTGAGGCAGGTAGAATCCTGTTTCGTGCATCGTCATCCAATTGACATCATCCACTCATCTTCCCTCTCTCCCTAGTGAAGTCGCCACACGAAAACACGGAGCGAGAGAACAGACGTCATAAATCTGGAGAAAAGGATCTAGTGGTGCGGCAGCCTTCCTTGTGTTGCCTTCTTTTGCCCACTGAAGTAAGTGGTGGTTGGAGACGTTCAAGGATCTGGGTGGCGATCGCGACAGGGAAGCGGCCTGATCACGATTGCAACCTACACCAAATGTCCTGCTCCCCGATCTATGTACCCACATGTAGCTACCATGAGAGGGAGGCATCATTGAACTATCTTGGCTTTATTATTTGTTTTATATGAAGAGACGCGCTTGCTCGGATGATGTGTGGGCTTGGCTATGAAGTCATTTCATCGCGACTGTGGAGGGCTCGTCGTGCTTGCGCTTCGAAAGAATGAGATGCATTATCTGTTAGGGCTTTTATGCATCAGTCTATACATCTCCCATGTAATCCAGGAGGGTGCCAGCAAGCATCGGGCCACATAATGCGACACGTTCAATTGCCTTGACGAAGAGATGATAGCCGCCTATCGCAACTGCGATGTTTTGACTCTGGGAGAGGCGAAGGCATGGACCCTTCCTGCTAATAAATGAGTAGTAAATCATCGTTTTCGGTATTCTTAGACCACCTAACGTCTTTGGATTCACGAGTTTCATTTCTCCAAACCAGCGGACGATAGCCGATAAGTGTTTTGAATTGGCTGAACCCTTCACGACGCCCTCAGCCGATCGCGATTCCAAGGAGCAACGAAAAAAAGCTTCATTTTAGAATTGATGAATGTTTCAATATCGTAAATCGAATTATTGAAATTCTACAGCAGACTTATTGAGCAGTAAAGGTATTCGAGTGCATTAGTCGATGCTAAGAGAGGGGAGATTCATAACACAATGAAAGAGAGAAATTTGTTATTGAGCATTGGATCTCTTTCCTATCTCTACTACAAGTATGTTCCTTTGGTCGGGATCTAAGAATTGCTCTCGAACCAAGCCACATCTCTGTGCAAAAGCAAGTGATCTTGAATCATCCCTCCAACCCTATCCAATCGTGATTCATTTTGAGCGATTGGCAGAGAAACTCGCACCTGAAACAAACCTACTAATCCAAGACATCGCAACACTTTTGCATGGCCTCATTTTGTTCTACCTGTTGTTGCAGAAGCCTACCATGCATAGGTAACCACGACGAGGAAATTCCCGAAGTAATTAGATAATACAAAGGAGCAAAAAGTGTCCTCTGAGGGGCATATTGTCGGATTCACCTGCAATTCCAGGTGTCGATCCTGCTCCAGCTCCAGCCTAGTCGTATAGTCAGAAAGGAAGACCTGTTACTGCGCAATTTCTCATCTTAGTGTAGTTTTCTCAGTACCAGTTGGGTAGACTATACTACCCGCATAAAGCCTATGATGAGTCCTCGCCTTAAAGGAATAAACCTATCCGGTAGCTAGCTTCGGAATCGACCCGTGGACGCCGGGCACTTACGCGTAGCGTTAACGGCTTGAAACGCTAAAGGATCCATGCTAGGCTACATGTCGGGGCCACCGAGTGGTCCAGAGCAAAGCTTCAATCCAGGGTCATTCAACCAAGTTCAAGCTAGTTCCACTAAAAAGATGGGCGATAGGTGCCCCGACGTTCACTGGCAGATACCAGAGATGAGGGATCCCAGCTCGATGATGACGATACTCTGCTTTACTAGCCAGCATAGTACTCAGAATCAAACACATTTATGTGATATTCTTTTTAGATAATAATCCTCGTTATCTATCGCATACCCACGCATCGCACTGATTTCCAACCTGAGCTAGGTCGCGCCGTCGCCGATGACCCTCGCATGTAACTACGCCTTTTGAAGGTACCACGCCTTTGAACGATGCAAGAGCCAGGCTGAACTCGTGGTAGGTTTGCCATGTCCGCCGAGACTCATAGGTCCAATGATACCTATGCAACTGTGCCTCGCCTATCTCTGCCCACACACATCACATATAGGGGGCGAAACGCGGCAGAGATTTCGCAGGGGTTGAGGACAGCCCAAGGTGTCTGTTCAGCTCCTCTCGAGCTGAAATATTCTAAGACATATTACGATAACGGCTTTGCGTCATTTTTTTCAATACGAAAGTGAGGCGAACCGAACTTTGGTATCCATCTTGTGATTTTGTAATTCGCACCTAAACTGCTGAGCCTGCGAATGAGTGCAAGGAGATTCAGCCCTCCCGCTCCATCTGATGCTTACGTACCCTACACTACACCGCCTCGATCCCGCCGGTAACTTCCCTGTCCGTAGCCCCGCTCATGCATTTGATCAAGATAGGTATACAATGTGCGATAGTAATGTGTAGAAAAAGAAACTTGGAGGCGGGAAGGCGAGCGGGCAAAGACCAAATCACCGCACTATGACAAAGTGGCGCCGTTAACCCTGGGAGGTTGTGGGCTGAGGAGCTCACTAGTTCCAAGGAAAGAATACGATTTCGGCGAGGCAGAGTTAAAAATCATGGGATTGGTGGAATGGCATTTTCGATTCGCGGTGGTGTGGATACTTGTTTCGTGTGTAAGTGACGGATCACACTCCTCACCTCCTCACCTTGTAACACGGCTGTCGCTTTGCATGGATCTATAGTATATATTTTTTGTTGTAAGTGAGACAGGGGAGCCTGGGGCCTATCTATTGGCTCAGGCAAACTCCTTAATAATGCATGATGGTGGCTCGGTCATGCCCCCCCGTGGAGCCCAAAGACTTTGTCCACCAGCGCCAGTTATGGCCTCTTGGGGGCTAAGGTCATGCAGGTGAGAACTGAGGTAGTTGGCAATAGTTGTCCCGGTATGGCCTACTGCCTCATTGGCTTGAATGCACCTGGAGAGGAGGCTTGTGCGGACAGGGGTCTATCTTTCAGCTGCGATGGCACCACCTCTCATCACATCTCCTTCTGGAACATGACCTCCTGCTTGATTTGAATTTTGATTCACTTCTGCATAATTAGGGTGACTTTTGGAGAGCTGAAAGATTCCTGGATTCAGTTCCAGCTCTCCATCGTCAGCATACCCAGAACCTGGGTACTCCTACGTGTACTCGTACTCGGTTAGAATGTGGCTTATCTTCCCAGTTGCTTTCTTTTTCTTTCTTTTTCCGGGAGTAGTACTGCATTAAGAGATTGGTAAATGCCGCTAGCTTCTTGTCGATCCGTGACACAGATAACGGTAGAGTTACAGTAACTTTTCCTGCAGTGGCTGTGGGCTTTGTGCACGAGACATAAACCTTCTTAAGTCTGTCACCGCACACACCCTGAATGGCTTGATTCTCTGTGTTACTTAATTTGGTGTAATGCAGGATTATTCCTATTAATGTGATAAAATAAATCTGAATAGGCACTGGATCAACTTGGATATCGTACGATTCGTGGGTAGGCGCGATGAACGATTTCATTGTACTCCGAGGTTGTTCGGTGCATTTTTGTGCAATGGAAAAGATCTAGATCATCTGCGGGATCGATGTCTCACACACCACCACCATTCGTAATAGGTAACTGATGCAACCGCCCGTGATCTCCCATGTAGGATTCGTGTGAAAACAACTGCGTGGGCCAGTTACATCCTTCACCAAGCACACTTCTTGCTTTCTTTTTACTGTATGACGCTTTGGCCCGAGATTTAGGGCCTCAAAGCTGCAACATGCTTGATAGCCGCACCTGGACACCGCAACAAAACAAAGCTCTTTGCATGGTAGCCCGGTCAAGCCGGTGTACCCCGCTCGGCTAGTCCTGATCATATTTGAGAATTGCCCATTTATGTTCTTCTCATGGTGGGGTTCTAGACCCAAGTCTTGATCACACGAGTGTATCTTCGATCGCAGGTCGATTTAGCCCTGGACGTCATCCAAATTATATCAAAAGTGAGTTTTGAATGGTGTGAGAGAAATCGGTATACAAAAACCGACGGAATTCCCCCTCATCCGGCGTCCAGAATTTCTGTCTTTCCCCTTCTCTTAACTCCATGCTTCTTCCATCCATCATCATCCTTGGGCCATATGCCATGCTCCTTGGCCCAGTCATCTGACTACATTGAAGCAATTTCGTTGAGCCTCCACTATCACTACCTAAGTTAACTCTTGATTCAAAGATATTTGACTTACTTTTCTTCACGTCGGCATGGAAACGGGACTTCCACGTCCGGTCGCTACCATGGCCTTGAACACGAGTATTGAGCTCCAGAGGGTTGAGAGCGCTCGCAAGGCCCTACAGAAGGATAAGACCCTCACCAATCGCCAATCTTCTTCCATAACCAAGGCCATCGAGCTTCTCAACGAATCCAAGAAAGGCGGACGGATAGACCGACACCACTCGCGCAGCCTCCTCCTCGATATCTACAATCGTTTTGGCATCGATGTGCTGCTCTTGTGCAGCATCTCGCTGTCCATCACGAAGCTGGCCGAGATGAAAAGAAACGCCGCCCGATTCTTCTGCGAGCTAGGAGCGTGGATGATTTCTGCTGAGTTTACCCCAGAGGTTCACGACCTGGCAACAAGGCTGTTGGCCCCGGTGCTGTCAGACATTGAGGCCAAGAAAACAAAGGACAAAGAAGGTTGTTCCGCGGTGGGCCCCTATCAGAGAGAAAGATACCAGAGAGCTGTAGGCTGACCATGTATCGATTGTCTGATGTCACAGCCCTAGAACCTAACCATACTCTCAATGATGGGAAAGGCAAACGGAAGCTGTCCGTCGAGAAGAAGTCGACACCCGTCAAACGTACGAAAGTTAGTCCCAGCGAACAGCCTGTGAACGACATCCCGGGCCGCATGGAATGGAGAGTACAACAGCCCACACCCAATGAGGGGAGTGTAGATGCAAACGGCGGCGCCAGGACCGAATGCGATGACTTGGTTAAGGAGGAGTCCCAGTCTCCCCCGGCCTCACACTCCAAAGGCATATATGCTCCTACGCCAGAGGATGGTGAGTTCAGACTGACTATACATGAGAGTTTCCAATGCTAATAGAGGATGGAATAGTCCCGCTGTATGCGACCGTGGTGGATGCGACGCCCATGGATATTATAATGACGGTCGTTCTCCAGGGGGAACCCACGGCCTGGTTGACCATACCAGACGACGAACGGTCAACGACATCTTTCATCACAGTCCAGTTGCCAAGGCGACTAGCTCTCTACTTCAAGGCCATCAGAGGTGAACGTAAATGGTCATGAAAATACATGAATGCAAGTCTTTTGCTATTGCTATTTTGAGCAGTTTGGATGAAAGCATAAGGCGTTAAGACTGGGTGAAGCGTTCACATTCTTGACATTATGATTGCTTAGAAATTAAGCAGGATTTTATGACTAGAAATGCAAATTCAATTGAGATTAGATGCTTCCACTACTCTGGGCCGGCATTCCGGAGTCAATATTATAATTATAGTCACCTTTGAGCAATTTTGTCCATCGTATGTTAACAGCGACAAATTCGTTGGTCAATAATATTTTTACTCATTCCTTGATTTAACTTGTACACAAGCCGATGGCTTGATTGATTTCTTTGATATCGAAAGCCCTGACTTAGCACTGATATCATATCACCATTGCAGTGGGGGCTACCGCCAAGAGGAAAGACGACGGGCGCAATTGATGACCTGGCAAAAAGTCATTCATATGGTGTAAGGCCCAACGAATTAGACTAGTTGTGTTAGAGGATCCAGTTCTTGTATGAAAACGGACGATTTAAACAGCAAGATCCAGCCCTGATAGGTTTGTTTTCAGCTATGTTAGTGTAATTGATGATGGGTAATGACTTATCGAATATTCAGACACAGAAGTGACCTTATAACGAGCACTGTCAGAAAAGTATGTATGATCCACTGTCCACATTACCAGGGAGTTGTGGAAAGGAAGACATCAACATGCCATCACATGACGAAGGTGTTTGTGGACAGTGCTTTTCTTTACCAACGCACAATAACATCAAGGCAAGGTGTCGGGGAAAGAGAAAATACAAAGGATCTCCTCCTGAAATGCTTGATAATAACTTTTGGGAACCTTTCTCTAACCGCGACCGTAAAAAGAACGCCCTTCGGCCGTCTAAAATCCACTTTGCGTGATGTGTTACCTACATACATGTACCCTATAGCCACCGCTAGCAGCAGGTGCCTGTCATCCGTGTGACATATTGCGCTTAGAACAAAGGTAAGAGGCTTTGAGTCTGTCCTTTATAATGTTAAAACATAGCTTTACACTTTACACTTTGACAATTAGGCGAATAAAATCTAGCGAGAGAGTGGGTTAAAGAGATGTTGTGCAAAGAAAATACTTTTAGATTGGGTCACCTCACCAGGACAAGATAGGAGGTTGAGGAAAAGTCAGCTGTGCGTAACGTATGGTAGCTATTGACCCCCATTCAAGCTATTCATCTTAGAATGTGGTTTTCCGACACAATGGTACACGTTATCTCCGCCAGCCAGCTGTCGCACATGTTGTCTCAGGGGGCTGAGGAACACGCTCGCTTGCGATGAGGAAACACGGGTGAGTGAGAAACCAGGGGTGTAGGGCCGAAATACTAGTGACTGGATGGGGTATGTCTTCTAAACGGTCGCTTAACATGCTGGAATTCTGGGGACAGACGAAATAGGACAGCAGCCGAGACATGTGGACAGGTCTAGACGAGCGAACATGCCAAGGGAGCTTCATGAACCTAAACAGTTATCTAGAACCCCTGTCTGCGGGCACATTACGTTTCCTTAGGCCAGTGCTGATCGTCCGTTTTATTCTCTTTTGCCTAGAGAGCCCTGTTAGTGCACGCTGAATATACCCTGTTCACATTCCAACTGATATTGAATCGCACGATAACCCACACAATGGGAATTCTAGACTTACTTGAATTGAGATCAACGTAACAATAGAGACTGACCGTAATATCATGATCCGTGACCGGGGTTAGGTAGAAGGGGTAGTTTGAGAGTCATGTTTGAGTCGATGAATGTCATGCCCTAGAACGTTCGCACCGGGCGCCGATCTTATGTGCATCTGGAGTTTTACTCGAAAATGTAGGCATTCTTATCTTGAATCGCATGCTTTACATGACTTCTTATCAAAAACTACAGGACCATCTAACTTATTTACAACTCAATGCAATAATATTGTTTTGCTCAAGCCCCTCTCAAACTCCCATAATGGCCTGTCGACATGTCCTCGCTTACACATTCGTCCTCCTTGCATTTGCGTTAGAAATTCATGGCCGGGCACTACCAAAATGCCAGTACCAGGAGTATGCTTGTGGGAACGACTTATCTAAACGAGGTATTGGCACATTCTATTACTCGTCCCTTTACCTTGCTGTGTTTTTTAATATTTGAGCTAGGTTATACGAACGCCGATTTCCGGGCAGCGATCGCAAAACTTCCACCTGGGATTATTCCACCCACTCTCAGTAATTCGCAGCTTCTCCAGGTTCTTTACCACTGTGACGACATCTACAATTCTATATCCGGCAATGCTTTTTGTGTTTCGGGGTGTATCGCCATCAGTGGTTCGTTAGCTAATGACCAATGCTACATGTAGGTGAAAGACGACGGGAGAGACAAAGATCAGATTAGTAACAATGTATAGGAACGGCTTCAATGTTCCTCCATCCGGGAAGAAGAAACGATGACCCATTAGTTTGGTAGTTTTGCTTTGCAACGATTCAGGGGAAGTTGAGTTCGACGTGTGCAGGTACAAAATATTGTTCGAGGCCGGTACCAACTGCTCAGAATAACCGAACTCAGTGAGCGAGACGTAATATGATATGATATTAGCGGAGCAAAAAAATAGTTGTCTTTGGAAAACGTGTATCTATCTGGTCGGCCTCTTTGCTCGGAATTACGTTCTGAGTGATATGAGAAACTGCTTGAGGTGCCGGAAACGGTATTGTGAATAAGGTAAATTACGAATTCGGCCTAGTTGAATAGTCTGTAGGAATTTCCTCAATAACGGTCGTTGACCCGTGAAACAAGGTATTTAGAAGAACCCATTGATAGACTAACAGGGGTAAGGAGTAGTGCTATCAATACGAAGCACCGTGTGATCAGCGATGACACTAGAGACGTATAAGTACATAAGTCACGTAACTTACCATGAGGCTATGGAATGTGAATAGAGAGATATTGTTTCAGTTAGGTGGCTTATCGACAAGTACAGAGATGCCATGCCTGTGATGGGTGGAGGCGCTCACGTGGGAAGCTTAGTACTGAACCAGGCATCTTCGTAGATCTCATGCTTGAAAGTGATGTTTATCAACAAGAAAAGCTGCGTGTGTATGCTAAATCACTTCCAGCAATTAAGAATATCCGAGATGCTGTTGAAATGCTGTATTTTCGAAGGAATGGTGGAGCTTTGGATCTCGCAAGAGAAGCGAAGTGAATGCTTTGCGTATCCCCTCCCCTGCAATGTGTTGTCTTGATGAGGGATTGCTGATGAGAAATACCGCAAGCATACCTTCTAAGCGAGCATTAAGTGTTCAAAACTATTGGAATGCAGCCGTCTGTGAGTCTCTGCGGTTGAATGATTCTAACCCTTTGCGAAAAGAAGGGGCAAAATCAGGCTGTTCTTAGTCACAGCACGATGGATTAAATGTAATCACGTTGATCGGGTACCAAGTATCCTCATCAAGGGCATTGTACCTTTGGAAAAAGGTATTAAAAGACCGTCTGTCGACTATGTACATCCTGCTTCATCAACAATTCTTCACTCCATCCTCCTCCCTCTTCACACACTAGCCACTTCTTAATCTTCAACTTTGTCAGCAATAACCAATCAAGATGGTTTCTAGTTATCTTTCTGGGCTCGCAGTCCTGCTTGCCTTCTCCTCTGGAGCCTTGGCCCAGATTACAACGCCGTGCACTTACCAAGAGTATCTCTGCGGTTCAACTCTACTCACCAACGGTGCGCCATAGCTTCAGGAAGCTCTTACCTGGTATTAAGGCCTTAGCTAACCTTCTGTACAGGATATGTCACTGCTGATCTGAGGACCGCATATTCCCTGAACCCGAACAACCCAGTCATCCCAGACACCGCGCTTTCCAAAGTTCTTTTCCGTTGCACGGATACTGTGGGCACGATTGTTGGTAACTCCTACTGCATTGTGGGTTGCGGAGTGGTGGGCGATAATCTGGTCGATGATCAGTGTACAATGTAGATTGGACTCAATCGTGGTTGGGAGGTGTATGTACCTTGGTGGGTGTCTAGAAAGAGTAGTGAGGCGATGGTTGCCACTCTTTTTCCTCATTCTTGTGGGGTTTTTTAACGAGGGCGACATTTAATAATATAAATTGATCATAACGAACTAGCTATCATACTGCTCCCTTTATGACTTGACGGTGTGAAGGCTTTTGCTTGTTCTTTGGCGGCCACACTTTCGAACGTACTGCTAAAAGTAGAGATGAGAGCTGGACGTTTTGACTCCTTTGTAATTAACATGAAGGTGTATTCCGCTTCTCTGAGGTTGTTAGACTGCTATCATATATATTCTGCGTTCTGAAAGTCTTAAAATATCAAATTAATTATCTAATGTCCCCTTATTCCAAATAGTCTTTCGCTAGTCCGTTATTAGCTCATATTGATTCGAGTTGGATAATCATGCCTGAGTGGTAATAAAAGAAATTAATTGAATGTAGTCGGTGTTAAAATAAGAAATTCTCTACCCCGAGGAAGCCCATGAGCTATCTAGAGAACAACCCAGTCTGGAATCTATATTCGGCCAAAGAGTGAAACCACAGGATAATCGCCGTATTCCCCACCACAATTGGCTTCCGGGCCAGTAACCACATTACAAGGAGTGGAACACTGGTAGTTAATACCGAGATGGGTATATTGGAAGGCATTGAGCACGTTTCCGCATGTACAAATCGACTGCCCCGTCCCACTTGTGCCAAGAGAGAGGTAAAGGGTCGGGCCACCAGGTTGCCCAGCACAGAAGGCTGCGCAGTCGTCGAGTGATGTGAGTACAGTCTGACCCGTAACGGGGTCTAGCCCGTACTTGTCATCTTGACTGGCAAGGTAACAACCGAGATAGCCATAGTTTGTTGTGTATCCGGCTGAATCACCTTTCGGTCCTTGGGGGCCTTCTATGCCCTGCGCGCCTTGTTGCCCTTGATTGCCTGGTATACCTTGAGGCCCCTGTGGTCCAGCTTCTCCTTGGAGGCCTTGGAGGCCCTGGGGTCCCGATTCACCTGGTAAGCCTTGCAACCCAGGCTCTCCTTGCTCCCCCTTCTCGCCTTGCTGGCCTTGTAGTCCTGGGTCACCTTGATCTCCCTTCTCGCCTGGGAGACCTTGCAAACCTTGCGAACCCGGTTCGCCTTTTAAGCCTTGCTCACCGGGGACTCCTTGTTGGCCTTGGAGACCTTGCTCTCCCTTCTCGCCTTTCTGACCTTGTGGTCCCGGGCCGCCTTGATCTCCTTTAGCACCTTGGTCTCCTTTAGCACCTTGGTCTCCTTTTGCGCCTGGGAGACCTTGTAAGCCTTGTGGCCCCGGTTCCCCTTTTTGACCATCTCTACCTGGTGCACCATCTCTGCCCGGTGTACCGTTTTTGCCATCTCTGCCTGGGGCTCCGTCCCTTCCTGGCATACCATCTCTACCTGCTGTACCGGTTCTACCATCCCGCCCTGGTGTACCATCTCTGCCCGCTGTACCGTTTTTGCCGTCTCTGCCTGGGGCTCCGTCCCTTCCTGGTGCACCATCTTTACCTGGTAGACCATTTTTGCCATCTCTGCCGTCTCTGCCTGGAGCCCCGTCTTTTCCTGGTTCACCCGGTGTGCCCTGTAACACTTGGATAACTTGTACGCTTTGCGGTGTTGAAGTTCCTTGTACTGCCGATAATCTAGATGAATCTGGTGAGCTAGGGCTCTCGGCCTTGGCGATTTGCTCCCTTGAACCAGGAATTGCCGGTTGACCTTGTCTCAAAGGAAATACTGCTGAGTCTGGTGCCCTGGGACTTCCATCTTCACCGAGCCCTTGGGAGCCAGAGCTGAGACGACTGGCTGGACTTTCGTAGCTGTTGACTGGCTGTCCTGGTGGACTAGGCCCGGGGAGTCCCAGCTCCCCTGATGACCCGAAAGGAATAATCAAATAGGCTCCACGAAAATCTGGGCAGCTATTGCCCTCTATACTGCGGGCCTCCAAAGGATGAGTAATTATATGCGCTGATGGCTTCGCATCTCTAGCCCCTAGTTGTGTCTGTGATACGGAGGCGGTAGTAACTGGACGTTTCTGCAAGCATCGAGACACTGTATTGCGTTAGAAAATTCCACGAGAACATTTCAGAATGGTCATGCTTACGAGGAACTAGTCCAAGGCGAATTCGAATGCACTCGTTGGATAGCCTAGAGGTATCGAAGACGGCAAAAACAACGTTTGAATTGGATAGACAAAAGAGAGCTGTAGGAGATGCAAAATCCGAACTGAACCATTGCAGTTCATCGCCATCCCGGACGAATCCACTGGCGATAGTTCCATTCGAGGACCCCCCTAATAATGGCTGACTCTGTATGCCGGGCTCGGTGGAAACTATGTGTTTGCCCGCATGCAGCTGGTCTCCGATGAGTTGGAACTCGGTTGCGTACTGGCAGGCGCTGGATATACCAAAAGGAGTGATGTATAATGGATCAGTCTCCCGCAAGGCATCCCTCAAGGGATGGAATAGGTTCAATAGGAGTAAAAACCCTTCAGGGCTATTGTCGTTGAGAGGGGTGGCATTGACTCTAGCCGGTTTTGTGAGTGAAGTTGCAACACCTGGATATTGGTCCCGCGAGAAGACACTTACTTTTCCACTTGAGCGTTTGATAGATCAGTATCATTAATAGGTCCATAGGAATTTGTCGCAATAGTTGACGCCGCACCAAGACCGAAGTAGCTCAAGAACATGACCAGTAGAGACCTCATTTTGGCGGGTGTTTTCATGACTGAGCCTCATTTGACCTAGACTTTGCTGGGAAAATCGACAAAAAGGGAATTGTGGTATAGGCGAGAGTTCCTGTATGGCTCCCGTGCTTGCCAGAGGTCTTCTCTTTGTAGATTCCTGTCTCCGTTCGTGTATTTTGATTCACGAGGCCAAGACACCTTCTCAGCGAATCGTGTTGGCTCGCATGCGACATTCACATTAGACATTTGAAGAAACACATCCTGCAGGGTATGTTTAAAACGAGGGATAAATAATCAATAACTTATGAAACAAACAAGGGAGGATGGAACAGTGTCTGAGAGATCACACCATGCCGTCTAAGCGAGAAACATGAATCTTGGCTCAGGGTTCCTCTCCCATGCCCAACACAGGGATTTGTCGAACTACAAGACCATGAATTAACCTCATATCCTTGTCGCTCTAGGGGACGTTCTAACCTCAAATCCACGTGGTCCGGATCATCCGTGGTGTATGATAGGCACAGGCCTCCTCCCACATTTCTTTGATATAGTCACAACATTCCGCGGCGATACTATAGTGCAACGCATTCCAAACGAAACAATCTACATAATGAAATCATTCCTTGAACCAGCGCATTGACGAGAGAACAAGGAAATAAGTCAACCGTCCAGGTTTCCTCAATTCCCCTTTGCCATCCCTCCATATTGACATCATGCTCTTCCGTCCCATCTTCGATAGATCGAATTCTGAAACTGTAGGCGAGACGCTATGGCAACCGAAATTTGAAACCCGGTGAACAACATTCAGCTCATCTTGTGAGATCACTGTCCTCGAAAGTTCTCGAATGGGTGTGACGAGGGGTTTGTCTCTCAGTGTGAATAAGAAGATACTCAGTTATTGATAGATTTTAATCGTGTTATGTGATTCACACGGAGTGTTGAAGTAAATCCTAAGCAATTAATAAGTAGTCGAGTCTGGCATCTTCCATTGCTTGTTTTTATTCTGTACTCGAACTCTCATCCGTAATAAATAGATACTAACTTGGTAGTTATACGGAGTCGCTTCCGGTAGTATATTACTGCAAGTTTACTATTACTCTCAAAGTAAAAAGAGATTTACATCTAATATAGGAGCTATACTAGAACTATAAGAACAACACCCTTCCAGGGACATGAATATTAATGACGAGGGGATATTATCACCATATTCATACTATGTATTCTGCAATGCGTGATCAGGTGCTATCCCAGCACTGTCGCAGCACTGCCACTATGTGGTTACATTGTCGGTTGCTGTGCCGGCGCTAGGGAACTGGATTTATACCCGGTCATTGTGATCGTGTTGTTTCGACGATTACAGATGAAGACTCTTTTGATGTGTATTCCGCACGGCTTTCGACCCAGATATTCGAGGGTTTCATTAGATCTAATCCTACTCAGAAACATAATTAATTGAAAAGGATCTATTATGTTGTGAGCTTGGGACAGCGCAAGTCAACGCAGGTAATTGCTCGATAGGGGGTAAGCAGAATGCTAGGGGTACAGTAGAATGGGATTGGGCAGGCTAGACAGGGGGTGGAGGTCTTTCTGACAGATGATGTTACAATAATATGATCTGAATCCCCCAAACAAAATGGGGCAAGTTCCTTCTCGCGGGGACATTTGACCATCGTCAACCGGTGCATCAACTATCACCATCATGTGGCTCATTGATGCCAAAACGACCCGCCTCGTACACGTCAACGACGTGGCCGACAAGCCGCGGTACGCGATTCTATCGCACACCTGGGGCGAGGGCGAGGTGTCATTTCGCGACATGTCCGCTCGCAGCGCCCGGATTTCGAGGAAGCCACAGCGGCGGCCCGCTTGGTCCAAGATCGAGAACTCGTGCCGTCTGGCCCTGAGCTACAAGTGCGACTACGTCTGGATCGACACATGCTGCATCGACAACTCCAGTAGCTCCGAGCTGCAGCAGGCCATTAATTCCATGTTCCGGTGGTACGAGCGGGCGGAGATCTGCTTCGTCCACCTAGCGGATGTTTCCGTCGACAAGGACCACAACAGGCTCAAGTCGGCGTTTCGTGACTCCCGCTGGTTTAAGAGGGGGTGGACTCTCCAGGAACTACTGGCCCCTTCGACTCTGGTGTTCTACGACAAGACGTGGAGTGTTATCGGCGCCAAGGATGACGCTGATCTCCGAGGGTCTATCTCGGAGGTGACAGGGATCGATGAATATTATCTTAATCCAGCAAACAGGATCGTGTTCAGCAGTGTACATCAATGGCTCTCTCGCGCAAGTGTCGCAGAGAGGCTGTCTTGGGCGGCTGGGAGGGAGACAACACGGGCTGAAGACATGGCCTACTGCTTGCTTGGTATATTTGACATCAACATGCCCATGCTATATGGAGAAGGGATCAAGGCATTCAAAAGACTCCAGGAAGAAATCATGAAAGTCGACGATGACTGCTCGCTCCTCTGCTGGGGCTACGACATGGCACAAGAAGCGCTGACAATTTTCGAGGATGAATCGTCAATCCTGGCTCCTCACCCAAAATACTTCAAGAACTGCCGCGGAATTAAGCCCTGTACTCTTCCAGGATACATGATGCCTTCTTTCTCTCTTAATCAAAGAGGATTGAAAATCAAAGCACCTATCCTCGACGACATCACGCATGCACACCTCTCCTATGTAGTATTGGGTTGTGGCTTCGTCCCCGAAACTGATAGAGGTAACGAACAAGGCAAAGCGGGTTCGAGATTATTCGTCTCTCTTCCACTTGTCTCCAACGGGGCCTGTAAAAGTAGAGCGGGCGATGTAGAGACACAACAAGGAGAGTACCATCGACCTACTTGGTGCAGACCGACGTTGGTCTCCATGAAATCTTTGAAAAAGGCCAAGTTAAAGGAGCTTCTCATACGAAGAGCTGCTTCCAAATCGGCTGTTACGATACGGAGATGCCCGTTCCGCCTCCTGTTCCAGACTTCACCACTGTTCAAGACCGAACATGTAGTGGCCATTTACCCACCCCAGCCCATACCTGGCGCTCTGGCCTCACTCGGCAGAAAAGCAATGCACCAAACAGGTTTCTGGGACGACTCTGACAAAAGAAACCCCCTTTCGGACAGTTATGTGCGGAAGATACGTTCTGACACCAGTAGTTCAGAAGGCGACGATCCAGACAACCAGTTACTCAGCGACGTGCAGGTCATGATTCATCTGAAATTTTCAGCCAGCGAGATGTTTCTTGTTACTGTAGAGCTGGGAGACTCGATTGGGCACAGAATCTTTAGATGCCGCTTGTATCAGTGCGCCAAGCAGTTAGGATTCGAAGACTTGCATGCATTATCAATATCCCAAGACTATGACCAGCTCCGGATATTAGGGTGTGACCACATGGGTGGCTACTTCAGTTTCAAGATGAATGACGAGTCAAGCGTGGCGGTTGAAGCTATGTATACTAGTATGAGCGATATTGATAGGGTGATAATAGGTGTGCATGAGAAAGGAGCAACTTCATGAGTTGCGTACTGATAGGATAATGAACATTGATACCATATTGAATCAAACCAAGTCCGTCCGAAAACTTTTCCTCGTATAGTGCTGAGCGATTCGGTGCTATATTCGACTCTAGGAGAGAAGGAATCAAGGCAACAGTAATAATCTGGATTTAAAAAAAAAATTGAATCATCTTTAAACGCCGACAATTTCCTTCGAAGAGATCGATCTATCTATCAAGGGTGCCCACGAGAGGAACACTTCTAAGTATCTATATCTATTTCTATGATGCAGGATGTTCCAACGCCATCTCTAGTTCTCTAACAGGAAAACAAAAATCTACGGTTCTATGCCCATCCGATTCTAAACAAACGATAACCGCTTTCGTCTCCTCGCCCAATGCCATTACTCTTTTCTAGTCGTTCAGCATGCATAATCGTAAGTCGTCGTCCATCTTTGCCCGCCGGCCTATCTATCGCATTGAACGCAGCCTCGACCGTCTCGCTCACGCCTTCGAACCGCCCATTCTGCCGGACGGTCGCGACGAGCCACAGGGTACCATCGGGCCCAAGAATCTCGGTGCTGCAGTCTCGCAGCCACGCAGCGTGCTCGGGTGCATACACCACGTCTGTGGCAATCAACATGTCGGCGGGGGCATCGAGAGGATGTTCCAGGTTGGGAGATGCCCAGTCAAGTAGGGCGGCCTCAATCCGGGCCTCGCCCAGGCGGGGAAAGTTGGTTTTGATGTTGGAGCGGAGGTTTTCCAGTACAGCCGGATGGTAGTCAGTCGCAATCACGGTCGGGTCAGAAATCCCCAGATGTGGCAGGAGCTTGGCCATGACGAGGCCGACCAGACCAGTACCGGCACCCAGCTCAATGATCCGCGGGGAGGCGCCGAGCGAGGACGTGGTAAGGCCAAAGCGAGCAGGTTCCTGGCAGAGGAGTTTAGAGACGACAATGGATGCGCCCCAGCTCTGAAGTCCAACATCGTCAGGTTGCGACGAGTCCATGCCAGCAAGCCCATCGTTGAGTCGAATGTCAACAGTCACGGGGCCGTGTGAGTCATCCTTGGTGACGGGAAACGAGAACTCGCGCGCGTAATCAGCGAGCTCCTCTTGCATTTGCTGGTCCTGGTCGGCGGTGCTGGCGAAGAAAGATTCGAGAACCCACGAGGCCTGGTCGATGGCGCGCTGCCGCGAGTCCTCAGAGGTGAAGCATTCGAGCATCTCTGAACGGGCGATGAAGCCTGTCAGCCATCGCTCAGCGTGACTGCGCTCAAAGTTGTCGGCGCGCAGAGCAGCCAGTCTGTCCTCGCGGTCGTCATCCTCGTCGCCTTCTGTTGCTGAGACGTAGCCAGAGTCCACGAGCGTGTCAGCAACTGACAGAGCCTTCCTGTGGCAGTCGCTGGCGCCGTCAAAGGGGAACGCGAAGGGACAGTACAGGGCAGACAGGCCCTGGAGCGCTGAAAAGACCTGCTCTTCAGTGCTGCTTTCGAGCGTCCGCAGGGGTGGCAGGCTGCTCGTTGGAGGCAGCGGGGACCCCACAGGTCTCATCTGGGGGACAAATGAAGACGAACAACTGAAGACCTGTCTCAACCGCCAACGCTGGATACGAAGATCCCTCTCGAGAGACGATGAGCTGTGGAGCCCTGGTCGATAGACGTCGAGGCGAAGAGCGGGAGGGAGGCGGAGAGGTGGGAGAAAAACTCGCAATCGGTGGACACTTGCACGCACAAATTTTGTGCGTGCTCGTCCTACGCTGGCCGCCTTTTTCTAGGTTAGGTAGAGTCTTGCTCACCTTCCCGCCGGCAACTAGCGCAGCAACGGCCAGGCGATAAGAGTCAGTGCCCACCGATCAGAATTTTGCGTCCAGTGTTGCTAACTAATTGTCCCCCTAGCCCCAGGGGCAGAGTAAGGAACTGGCCTAGCCTATCTCTCGGTCTCTGGGTAGCGTGTGGACCGGCCACGTGGGTCATCAAAGATTTCCGTTGGGCCTTTATCGTCCAGGTGAGTCTTTCCCAAAGTGGTCATGTTTCGAAGTCATCGCCAGTTCAGAACAGATTGGCAAGTCACTTGTCAACTCTTCCCAAAAACAGCATCAGCTTGTGAAACTCAGGAAATGAAACCTGTTTTGCCTGATGAACATGAAACTTAACTTTCATCATTTCTGTTGCTTCTTCTTCTGTACCACATGTACTTTTGACTCAAACAACCTTGCCTCCACTAAGTAAGCTGACTCGACTAACTGCGCACGCCCCATTACCAGCTCTAACATGCCTGAAATGATTATCTGAATATCGCCGAGATATGTTGTTTCTTCGACTCATATCAAATAACATCAAAACTTAAATCTTACTTTCTGACAATGGGCGGATTCAGGAAAGGATATACGAAGAATCTCATTGACTAGCTGCAGTCATAAAGTTACTTGAAGGCCATGACTCGTTCACCGGAAATTCTACATGTTGAAATTTAACATTTCAAATTCCTTTATCCAATTTGCGAGCTGAGAGGTGTGTTGACTGGGGTATAGCGGCAGAGGCCCAGATTTGAGTCTTGTTGCCAGCTCAACAACACTGTCAAGTTTAAAGGGGCCCAACAACATCTCTGTAGTCAATATCGCGAGCTGGCCAGGCGCCCATCTTGGTGATCATGCCGACCAGAGAACCCTCCTCTCCAGTCTGGTGCTTGCCCCAGATCTCCTGAGCAAATGCCGTCAGCATGTCAGTTCCGTTGAGGAGCGCACCGCTCGTCCACAGCTTGCCATCGCTGACGTAGCGCTTCTCAACCCAATTTGTCTTGGGGCTCTGCTGTCGGAGAAGAGGCAGCAGGAACCGAGGCCCGGTGGCTGTCTTGCCGTCAAGGAGGCCAGCCAGGCGCGGCACCTCAACGCCGCCGCAGATGGTCAAGAATGCGGTGCACTCTCCCCAAGCCTTGCGGACGTATTCCAGTTCGACTTCGCTGGGTTGATAACCCATGTTGTGGGCGCCGATGAGGACAATGTCCAGAGGAGGCGCGCTTTCGAAGGAGTCCTACATATGACGGTCAGTTTGTCCCAGAGCTGTCCATGTCGGAATTTAGATAGAGGCTACGTACGGTTGGCTCAAGTGTGATTCCAGCAGTGAGCTTCATAGGCTTCGCTGGGCCAGATTCAGAGATCCAGTGGAAGCGAAAGTCAATGGCCTGGGCCTTGATCTTGGGCGAGACTATTTCATCAGGGAGCTCGTTGGCAAATACCTGGCCAAGCCCGCTGAAGAAGTCGATAGGTGCAACATCGAGGATCTCAGTAACACTGCAAAGAGTGATATTAGTTGATTGTATACTCTGAAGATGTTGCGTTACGTACCCGTTCATCAGAATGACGCCAACGTGCACGGGGCGTTGAGGGTTAGACAAGTTCAATGGGGCAGACATTGTGGGTAGTTTAAATGTTGTAATTGAAAGTATTTGAGTAGAGCTTCTTAATTGCTTCCTTGGATTTAGTTTCGAACGATAGAAACCATTTTGCAGCACCCTTCTTATAAGAGGCGAGTTTCAAGGACTGCCGAGACATCCCGGCAATAGTCGGTGGAACTGTCTCCCGTTAGGAGGCACCTGGGAAAGGGTGGTGCCATCCATCACGAACCCGACACACTTCGGCCGGCAATGGCTTAAACTAGTGGTAGGCAGTCATAACTTATCACTGTACAACCGAAATTATTCGGCTTGGAATGAATTATTTGGGCGAATTTCCAGTTCCGACTATGAATCTGCTGCCGTACGTCGACTTTCTTAGTTGGGTAGTAGCTCTAGAGACTCACTACATTTTTGCCTGATTAAAATGGAACAAGGAGAAAAAAGCACACAGCTCTTAAGCTTCGATGCCGTAGCAGAATCTTTGGTTTAATAACTGAAGCTCCTCAGACTTTCCATCCAAGGATTTGAGCGAGTTGCTCAGCTCCTCCAATCGGTGAGCGATAGTGACAAACATGCCCTCTTAAAATTACAGACTATTAGCATTACTTACATCCGAGCAAGAGCGGACTCGAGGGAATTTGTGTGAGTTCGGGGGAACAAACCTTCGGCGTGCCAGAGAATGTGGCAATGGAACGGCCAGACGCCAGGATTGTCAGCAACAATACGAAGAACAACGTGGGAGTGGCCGTGTATGGTAATGGTATCCCTTCTTAAAGGGTTTTCACAATTCCAAGTTGTTGTACCAGTCCCGAATTCTCCAGGACCTTCCCCAACTACTTGAAAATTTTGCCCTAGTACATAGGATAGATATCAATCTCTGTGGCTTCCTAAGGAGTGAGGGGGTTGAATGAGGAGTTAATATGTTACCACTATATATATTGTGAGTCCATATTCTAAACCGAATATTACATGAGGTGATAGCTTACTGCAAATGAAAAGGGTGCATCATCATAGACCCTGAGTTCATGACTATTTGTGCGGCCTTTTCCGAATCCCTTGAGACCAGGACCAACTGATTCTCCCCAAACTCCCATTTCGGAGACTGGGCATTGAGGTTTTGGACTGAAAAGTCCTGTTCGGGGACTTTCCATATAGTCGCATTGCCCTCAAGTGGCGAGAAATATGTCTGGGACAGAAGTTAGATTTCCCGATGCATAGTTACCAAGAAGCAGGGTTTAAGCATTTTAAGATCATACACCGTTGACAGATGTGCGTACAACGCCATTTTCACTCTTACGCTGAAACGTAAAGTAGTGATGATTCCTTTCACCAATATCGTATGCATTGCACTTTCTCATCGGTTTAGGAAGATGGAACGGTAGGTCTCGACAGCTCAAGGTCCAAGGCTCGTTGGCGATTCCCTCAATAACAGGAGCCTCAAGATCCCAAGGTGATCCGATAGGGTTTGCGCTTGAGTCTACATCGCTGTAGGACATGATACCTGTAGCCTCGAAGTTGAAGGGAGCCAGGTTCGTTCTCCCGAGTGCGGGAAGGGTGAAGCAAGAAGTATCGGCGGTTGCACGTATCCGATAATTCCCTGCTGCTCGGCTAGCAACCATAACGACGGAATAGCGCTGGCCAGGATTAACGAAAACCCTTGTTGATGGGATAGGTTCAACCTCCACTCCATCAATTTCGACTATCTCTAAGGTATGGTTGTCAATAGAAAACCAAAGGGGGGTTGCGGTGCTGTGGCTTATCAGCCTGAATCGAGTTCGTTCCCCAGCTTTCACCCGAGTGCGAAAAATAGAACCAGCCTTGCAATTTTTAGGTTGCTCTCTTGTGATGTTGTTGAAATTTAGAGATGGGGAAAAGGAGCAGTTTGAAACGTGCATTCCGTTGAGAAGCAGGTTGTCAGGAGGGGGCACCATGCCGAACATTGTGCCCCAGGATGGGTTGGGACTTAGATAGTCGGAAGCAATCTACAGTCTTGTCAGCCATGTATAAATCTAAATTCATGAACGTGCATTAGTATGTCCTACCAGTTCAGCATTTTGATGAAACAGGTCTCCGAACATCATGATCTTCTCGTCACCTACTGATGGAACCTTTTCATCCGGATCGTGAATGATCTAAAAACCCTTAGTCCACATGGCTATAATGTCCAATAAAAAAAACTTGATATTCGGTCTTACCAATGGCCCATAGAGCCCGTCTGTGTACTGAGCTGAGACATGGGAATGATACCAGAATGTACCTCGCTGCCCCGTCACATTGAATCGATACGTGAAGTTACCGCCAGGAGGGATTCCGCACTGAGAAATACCGTAGGCGCCGTCCATCCAGCTAGTATTTCTCTGGTCAATGCCATGCCAATGTACAGTTGTACTTGCATCAGGCATGAAGTTGTTGACAGTAATGCGGAGCACATCTCCCGTGTTAGCCTCGATGAGGGGCCCTGGCGACTGGCCATTCACAAGTATCATGGGCTTTTCAAAACCATCTGGAGCATAGTCCTCACGGGTGAGATTGAGCACGTATTCGCGAGTGGTGGGTTCGCTGGAAACCACGAAGCCGGTCTGCAGATCCAGCTGCTCGGCTTGAGTGGGATTGATTGTCATAGCGAAGTCATCTCCTTGACTCTGGTCCCCGTCTTCATGATGATAAGCGTCGTCGAAGATGGTAGGTGATCCTGTCTGCTGGCGTAATGTATGGAAAAGCAAGAAAGCGCTGGGGGCGAGCAGCGAGAAAGAGCAGACGATGAGCCACCCTACCCAACCAACTGCCGACTTACCTTTGCGGCGTGCCTTGGTGAGGGTGACTCTGGCATCTCGCTCAGGAAGATCACGGTTCCGTGTCACTGGCTGTTCTTGTTGGCCATGACGCGATTCGTCAAGGCCAAGCGAGGCACGCCTTCTGGCACTCATTTCTCTGGTATATGTTGGATGACAAAAGGTAAGTTTTCGGTTGGCCAAGAGGCCAGCCCATGCTTTTGCATTTGTTTCATAGGAAGGGGGGCTTGGAAGAAGCAGAAAAGCAAGCTGCGTTGAGATCGGGCCATTCTGATATCAGTCGACGCGTAACACATCAATGCGACTTTCCTTTCCAGGCCCGGTGACGATCTATTCAATCAAGAGACACCGGAAGATGATTTCGAAATGTCGACAAAGACACTACTGTGAGGGAGAATGTATTATAAATTGCGTCCATATGATTGGGTCTAATTGCGCATTTACAGCCAAGACTGGTGCAAAGGCTCGTTGAGTATTTACACCCTTCGCGACTGACCCGCAGAGCATCAAACACCACCACCATGTAATGCAACACTTCATGTTACGTATGCCCTTGAACAGCTTGCGACGACAGCAAGGGTGATAAAGTGAGGAGAAGGGGTTATCGAGTCTCATACAGCTATATTGGAAACTCCCTTTCTCATTTGCCCATCATGGTTCGTTTTCATAATTCGTCGTGATCTGCACAATTGTTCCGCCGTGACGGCGATGGCGGTAGGGCGAGCTCGCCATCATCCCCCTCTGTTTATTGCCCTGGCAATAGCACTACATACTTGCGCTGAGCCTCACGCAGTTTGCGCTCTCATAGATGCCAGGGATCAATCCTTCCCAGTAGTGAGCCCTCATACTTGAAGGCTATTTGCGTATGAGACCAATCGCTTGCCCAAGGGTGCGAACCAAGGTATATCGTGTAGTGTGACCCGGGACGATCTGGCCAGGGGAGAAGTAACCGCAGAAAATGCAAAGCAGGAAGTCAATGGTATTGAATTTGACACGATTTTTGAGTCGGCGACTTGAATGACACTTGGTTATTCTACATATGCACGAAATGGAGGAAAGTATTTGGCCTACTATCTTCGCCGCCGGATCAAAGTTACCAACGTTTGTCGCCAACTCTGGTCCTTGGATTCAAACTTTCCCAAACCTATTCTGTTATGATATTATGTGATGGCCATTCCTACATCCCATGTTGAGCAGCTCAAATTTCCCCAACGCCAGGTCGCATAACATCTCAGGGCCAATCAATTGATGCTCGACCTTGGGCTGATGATGGGAGGTCTGCCAACATTCAGAAGATCCATGCAATAACGGGTGAAATAAAACAAATGTCCATTAAGTACCATCATACATAAGTGGGCAGGGTAACTGAGTTACTAGATGTATGGTGGCAGCTAGGTAACGAGGTAATGAGGACAATGCAATGGGCTGACTACATACCAAGTCCGACATTTGTGGCAGAGGATTTCTGGTTAGCCAAGTGCCAACTTGGCAGGTGTCAGCAGGTGTCAATAGGCGGATGATAAATACAATATTAATTAAAGTAGATACGCAGAAAGGAGCTGTTGGCCAGTGTTTTGCGCTCAAATCACGCTTTCCCCAACCTTTCCAGCTGTTGGAGCTCTCACATTAGAATGCTCAAAAGTCTCGGACTACTCGCCAATCTCGCCGTTAACATTCATGCCCTTCGATATTTTTTTAAGGAGAAACATAAAATTAGTCATGGTAAGCAGCCATACAACTGTGGCCAGTGCGGTGACAGGTTGAACTTCTCATCCAGCGCCTGTGACATTCGAGATAACTGCACTAACTATTGCTGCTCCACACTACATACGCTGCAATTACGACGCCCTTTACCATCTTACAAATCACCGAACTGTAAGATTTTAACGCGCAGCATTTGTCAGTAGACTTATGTAGGCAACTGGCGGGATAGGTAACTGTACATCTCTCTTGGGGGTGTCGTTAAGGCTCGGTTTATGGAGCCAAACTCCGATCTTGATGAAGACAACAAAATCGCAAGAAGACTCCGACCTTGGTAACAAGACATTCAAAATGAGAAATCAAGACAAGGGTTAAAGGCAGCCCCTAGAAGTAATCAATCATATAATGGACTCGAGTGGCAGGGCGGCTCGGAATCATTACCAAGGACGACAACTCATGCACAGTGAGATTCGTTTCCAACTCCCCAAGATATCGCTGTTTACGTCGCATGCTAGGCAGCTAAAA